TCGTATCCATTATTTCTTGTAGGGCCCAATAAGTTTTATGTCTTCCAAGTTCTAATGGATTTTGAATCCCGATCTCAATTCTAGACATGGGTCATTACAAATGGTATCAGAATATCGGCGTAGACAACAATTACAACAGCATACATCACAAATCTCATCATAAGGGCATTTTGATAATTTTTACATCTTACATAGTTTACTCGTCCATATTGTTCAACTCATATTCTAGTCTTACAATTCCCTTTCTACCTTTGCATAAAATATAAAACATGTGTCCCGAAAATCTCACCCTAGGGGCATAACTATAATTTTTCATGACATACATACAATACATACTCATCCAAAATATCTTTCCAAAGTCCTTAATATGCATTTTCTAACCATTAAGTTAAGGAATGCTCGCATGCTACTAGCACGTCCTAGCGATTCATTACTTGCCTAAAGTTTGTGTGGTTACTTACTTGGATGACGTACGTCTTACCAAGCTAGATTTTCTGTATGATAAACGATCTCTAATTTATGAAATTTCTCCATGTAGATCCTAATTCAATCATAATTAGGGTTAGTATCAAACTAGACGAGAAACTGACAAATGATGGTCGAACGGAGCAAAAAATGATACTTACATGCACTCACGCACCTTCATGTGCGCAAACGGGCTCCTCATGCACATTTTTCGCATGCTTGACTCACGCTTACTATACAACACGTGTCACACACAGATAGGTCACGCTACGTCGGGTCGAGTCATGCAAGCAATTCGATTTATGAATAGCGGGTCGGAAGTTCAGGCACGGGTCAGTCGCCCTTTGCTGACGCGACGTGTGTCATCACATGGCGCCAGACATCGTCTCCTCCCATTTTCTGACATGTGGCTCGTACCATGGTCGAACATGCAACGTGTCTTGCTAATCAATTCATGCAAATTTTTATCTAATTTAAGAGTGAGTATTAATGAAAAGCCAAAAATAAAAACCATAAAATTAAAAAATATATTAAATAAATAGAAACTAATTAAATTCTAAACATTTCAACTAAATCTTATCCCAACCATCTTTACAATTTATTTATTTATTTATTATTATTTTGAAATAACAAACTTTTAATTTAATAAATTAAACATTATATTTTATAAATAGTTATATTATTTCATTTTAAATTCTTTTTAATGAAGGGTTGCTCTTTTCATGAACAGCCATTGTACTTTGGTTAGTTTCTTTTCGAACCCTATAAATACTCATTTTCTTTCCCATATTTTTTTTACCTTTTCGATCCTCGATCTCCGACATATTCAACCGTTCACTCAACTGCATCGGGAGACCGAGATATTCAGCCATTCACTCAACTGTGTCGGGCGGAGATCGATAAAAGTTTCGGGTCGGAATGGGAGAAAATAGTGTGTGTGGAATGGGGAGTGTTTTGATAATGCTTGTGGTGGTTGGGTGTATTTTGTTTCTGCCGCTTGTGATCGGCTCCGTTCAGCCGCCGTCCGGCCTTATGCTGCTTATTTTTCCGGTCACTCTCGCCGCCGTGTTCTTCCTCCTCTCACGTGAGTCCTCCAATTGAAATATTAATGGTGATAATCAAATCTTCATGTTGTTTTTTATGTTTTTTTTTGATAATTATGTAACACAGATGCATAACATAGAATAATATTTGTGTAAATCTTGTTTTTTTTTTTATTATTATTTAGTTTTTTTTTCATAAAATTCCGTTGAAAGGGGTTCATATGACCCGATAACCCAACTAACTCAGACTACCTAACCCAAACCATAAAGGTTGGGTCGGGTTAGGTCGGGTTGAGTTGAATTTTCAGAAACTCGAAAATTCGGTTCGGCTTACAACCAAATCCAACCTAATAAAAAATAAATAATATTTAACATTTGTAATTGATATTAACAATGCATCGTGACTTGTTAATGTTTAATATAGTTGAGTTGTGAACTCTATTCGGGTTACTCGAGTCACTAACCCGAACTTTTTGGTTGATCCAAAAGATTTTTCCAACCGAAACAATGTACACATCTACTGAAATTATATTAGATTAGTTAATTTAAATATCACGGTCTAAGTACGTCAGACATTAGTTATATTAAATTCATTGACACGTTATTAATTTATTAAATTATAAATAATTTTAATGTCACAACTGACTTAATTTACTGTCGCTATTTTAAAATATTTTAGAATTAAAATATATAATTTAATTTATAATTATTATTTATTTTATTTCCCATAGTTTAAATCAATTTATCATTTTTAGCCATTTATTTTAAAAATAAAAATAAATTCTTGTTTGAATTTTTATTTAAAACAATAAATATTTTCTTATATTTTGAATTTAAATATACCTTTTTGATCCACAATTATTATTATATGGACTCTTTTTGTATCTAATGCTTAGTTGGGTCTAATTATTATTTATTTTATTTACTATAGTTTAAATCAATTTACCATTTTTCGCCATTTATTTTTTAAAAAAAATAAATTCTTGTTTGAATTTTTATTTAAAACAATAAATATTTTCTTATATTTTGAATTTAAATATACCTTTTTTGATCCACAATTATTATTATATAGACTCTTTTTGTATCTAATGCTTAGTTGGGTCTATTAAATTCATATATTTTAAAATTTATCAAGATAGAAAATTAAAAATTTGAGATTTATTAGACATAGTATATAAACTAAAAGTTCGAGTCAGTTCGTAGGTTGAAAGTTTTTTGATCGAGTCAACCCGACTAACCCGAATATAAAGTTGCAACTCAACCCTACTTTTAAGATTACTATGAAGATTAAAAATATTTGACGTTTGTAACCATTGTTATTGATGCATTGTGACCTGTGAATGTTTAATAACGAACGTTTATAAATTTTAATTATTAATATAACATGTATCGTGTATAAATAGAATTTTGAAATAATTAAAAAAAATCAACCAGTCAACCGAACCTAAAAGTCGAGGTTAAGTTGGGTTGTGAACTCTATTCAAGTTGCTCGGGTAAAAAAAATCAACCAACTCGAAATTTCAGGGATTAGCAAAAAGAAAAGTCTTTTGGATAACTCAATCAAAAGAATTCTAGAGTTTACAAGGGAATGTCGGGGCCATTAAGTGTCGAATCTAGATTATGAATCTTGGACATAGGATGTTACAGTTAAAAAACGTGACGCTCGAATAAAGAAATGGTGCATGAACGAACCGAAATCACCTCCGAATAAGAAAAATCAAGTAATGAATTCAAGTAACACGAAAAATCGTAATGGTTCGATATTTTTCTCGATCTCTATCTTACTCCTAGCAATTTTTGTATCTATACATTTTCGTGAAGTCGAAAGTTCAAATTTTCACTTTTTCGTTTGTTCTGTACTGAAATGTCAATCTCCTAACTTACCTAAATACTACTATTCGTGAGTTTTTCGTAAGAAATACGTAGCGAACAACCGAAGATATTATTCCATGCTATCAAGAGAGTAGGTAAATTCATGAAACAAACACACACACATTACATAGTAACTCACAAACATTACAAACTTATAGACCCCCTCTAAGTTTACTTCAAGGAATCTTAACAAATCCACCACCAACCCCGCCAACTCCGGCACCGATGCCACCGATGCCAACCCCACCGAACCCGCCAAGGCCACCGCCGATCCCGCCCAAGCCACCGCCTCCTCCGAGTCCTCCAAAGGGGAGTCCGCTATCACCAATGCCAGAGAAGCCACCGCCGAGGAAGTTCTTTTGGTCATTGAGGCCTTTTGCAGCCTCAATTGGGGCAGTTCTTGCAGCAACATGGAGTGCAAATGCAGCCATAGCCATAGCCATAATCAACATCAAATTAAGCTTATTAGCCATTTCAAGGACTGTTTGTGTTTGTGGTGAAATGATATCCATTTGGTGGGTTTTTAAAGGGTAGAGGAGACGGTGGACTGTTGGGGGAAATTGAATGGGCAAGCCTATTTAGTTAATGCTTTGGCATTGGATCCATCGTGAATTTAGGCTTTGAGTGACATGAACCTCATGAATGTCTTAACTCTTTAAGTTATTTTAGTTGGTACCTATATCCCCTTCAAATAAAATATCTTTAGGCATCTACGTCTTGTGGGTCTTGTGGGTCTTGTTGGTAGAGAGTTCCATCTATGAGATCTATGAGATCTTATATCGGTTAGAGGGGGATGAAGCATTAGTTATAAGGGTGTGAAAATCTCTTCCTAATAGACGCGTTTTAAAATTGTGAGACTGGAGGCGATACATAGCAGGCTAAAGAGAACAATATCTGCTTGTGGGGAGCTTTAGTTGTTACAAATGATATTAGAGCTAGACATTAGGTAGTGTGCCAACGATGATATTGGGCCTCAAAGGGGGTGGATTGTGAGATCCCACATCGGTTAGAGAAGGGAACGAATCATTCGTTATAAGGTGTAGAAACCTCCCCCTAGTAGACGCGTTTTAAAACTATGAAACTGACGGCAATACATAATGGGCTAAAGCAAACAATATCTACTAGTAGTGAGCCTGGGCTATTACAAATGATATCAGAGCTAGACAAGGGGTAGTATGCCAGCAAGAACGTTAGGCCCCCGATTGTGAGATCCCACGTCAGTTGAAGAGGAGAACGAAGCATTTGTTACAAGAGTGGAAACCTCTCCCTAGTACATGCTTTTTAAAACCTTGAGTGGAAGTTAAGAAGGAAAAACCCAAAGAGAACAATATCTGCTATCAGTGGGCTTGGACTGTTACAAATGGTATCAGAGTTAGACACTGAGCGATGTACCAGCAAGGACGCTGGGGCTTCAAAGGGGGTGGATTGTGAGATCTCACATCGATTGGAGAGGAGAAGAAGCATTCCTTATGAAGGTGTGAAAACATCTCTAGTAGACAAGTTTTAAAACTGTAAGGTTGACAGCGATATGTAACAGGCCAAAGCAAACAATATCGGCTAATTGTGAGCTTGGACTATTACAACATATATGAGCTTATAAGTGGGAAAGAAGAGATCCTATGGATATTACAACACTTGGCATTGAGATGTAACCAAAGAAAAATGTACAGTTTCCAATTCTTGATTGGGACAAGTACAAAGTGAGGGGTTGTGAACAGATCAATGGATGGCTCAAACTCATTGGGATAATGCTATAACTATAACAATCATAGGGAAGAAGAAAATGAGTAAATTGTTTTCTTCTTCCTTTAAATGTTCATATCTTTTTTTCTTCTTTTTTTTTTTTTTTATATATATATATTATTTTAACTATGGCTTTAAATTAACAACGGAATCCCCTACGACAAGAAAGGGCACCTGCATTTGAAGTAAGCGAGCCCACCAACGAAGAGGATTTGGCTCCTAAGCTTGAGGCTCTTGCATAACTGGCTCCTGCACCAGCCCCTGATGGAGTGAAATAGGCTCCATTTAGCATGAGATCTCCCTCCGATCTCCAATTCCAGTGCCTCCATACACCGTTAGATGTGACAACTCTCTTTGTGACCTTAACATATTAACAATCAGAACGGGTCAATCGATCGTTAGAATGTTAATTGATATCTTATTTATTGAACTATATTTGAAAGGTTCTACGAAGATACCTCTTTGGCAAAAGGGTTGACAGGGGCAAGATATCGGTTGCCCTGGCTATTAATGGTGGGATTAGCACTTCCACCAATGGCATACATTACCCAGTGAGTGTAGTCATTGTTTACTACATGGAAATACCCATGTCTACACCTGAATATTAAATGATTGGGTCACATCAGTAAACATTTTGGGTTTATTTTAGTTACATAACTTACAAAATCATCTAATAGGTTGGTTAAAAATTTAGATAGCATTTAGACATAAATAAAGGTTTTCAGATATGAGTACACAGAATCTGTTGAGGATTATTGAAAGTAGTAGTCCTACGTTGGCTAAATAAAGGAAGATCATGGATTTATAACTAAGAAATTCTATCTGTATTGTTATAAGACCTTTGGGGAAACTAAAAGCAAATTCACAAATTCACAAGTATCAAATAAAGAAGTTGTGAGACTCGAAAGTGTAATCAAAGGTGACTCAGGTGTCGAACAAAGGGTGTACTTACTTTGTTCGAGGACTCCAAAGAAGGAGTCGAGCCTCAAATAAGAGGAGGTTGTTCGAGAGCTCTAGGGAAGGAGACCTCAAGAGAGGCTTTGTGGTGTACTTTGTTCATAGCGGAGGTGAGGCTCGAAAGTGCAGTCAAAGGTGACTCAGGTGTCGAACAAAGGGTGTACTCCAAAGAAGGAATCGAGGCTCAATTAAAGGGAGGTTGTTCGAGAGCTCCAAAGGAAGCCTCAAGGGAGGGTTCGTGGTGTACTTTGTTCGAAGGAGAGGATTGTTAAGGATTATTGAAAATAGTAGTCTCACGTTAGCTAATCAAGAGGAACATCATGCCTTTATAAGTAAGGAACACTATTTCGATTGGTACGAGACCTTTTCGGAAACCAAAAACAACTTAACCATGAGAGTTTATGCTTAAAATAGACAATATCATACCATTATGGAGTTCGTGATTCCTAACATAATCGAGAGGAGAAAAGTACCTTGGCATTCTTTGGATGAGACCTTCACCAAAATGGTTATAAGCAATGGTGACTTGCATTTGCTTGTCTCTTACATAAGAGTCACTATGTCCCAAGAGCATCACCTGTTTTGCAACAATCTCAGCCAATTTCAGAACAAATTCCAACATTTGCGATCATTTGACAAAACTGTTAACTTTTTACCTCATTGTGGTGGGTGAAGTAATTGTTAGAAATTGTGATAGCAGTTGATCCCATGATAGCATCAATGAGCCCATCAGAACAAGAAGAAAGAGAATTATGGTCAATCCAAATATGACTCGACCCAAAAATTGAAATCCCATCACCATCAGCCATTGTCCTCCATCCATAATGACTAGGCGAGCTTCGAACCATGGCATTCCCCGTTGGCTTGCAGTCATGAATATGCAAACCATGAATAATAACATTGGTAATGAATTGGATTGTAATACAAGCACCATAAGCGATGTGGACATTGACGCCACGCCCATCAATTGTCTTGAAGCTGTTCATGATGAGTTCTTGCTTTAAAGTGATCACCATGTCTCGTTTGAACACAATCCATAATGGTCTGTCTTGAATCACAGCATGGCGGAGGGTGCCTGGTCTGGGATTGACAGGATCGTCGTCACGTGGATCAGAAACGACGTAGTATCGCCCATCACGGCCACCGACTGCATTACGACCAAACCCAATGCCGCAATTGGCGAGGCGCTTTCGCCGCAGTTGCCAACGTGGGTCACAACGCCAACAATCATCAATTGGATTTCCTGTTCCACAAGAGAAGAACCCCAAGTTCCTTCTCTCTGTGCTGTTGCGTATGCTCCTGTGGGAAATTTCCAAACATAACCAACCAATCACTACACACACACATTATAACTACAGATACACATTATAAGCGCGCTACCGTAAAGCCGTAAAGAATGAGAAATAGAAGTGAGATCGAATGAAACAAAAATGTGTAAGTATGAACCAATTTAGAGCATGAAACAAACTGCAAATGGCTCAGCCATTCTTTAAATTAGCCAATTTGGGACTCCCTCCCCTCAAACAAAGTACACTATATAACTTCCCTGAGGCCTATAGAACCCTCAAACAACCTCTCTCCTCTTGAACAAAGTACACTATAGAACCTCTCCTGAGATCTATGGAGCCTTCGAACAACCTCTCTTCCATTAATCAAGGCTCAACTCCTTCTCTGGAGTCCTCAAACAAAATACGCTCTTTGTTCGACATTTGAGGATTCGACTAAGTTAAGAGCATCACGGATCTCCACAATGATATAATATTGTGAGTATAAGCTCTCATGTCTTTATTTTGGGCTTACCCAAAAAGCCTCATACTGGAGATGTCGTTACTTATAAATTCATGATCGTTTGTCAATGTGTAACTCCCCCCAACAATCCTCAACAAAAAAATGGACACCAACTCTACTGGTTGCTCTATACCATATTAAGAATGAGAATAGAAGTGAGACTTAATCTCACTTCTATTTCTTATTTTTAACATCAACCCGATTAAGTTTAAATCCTAAAAGAAGAAAATTGGTTAATCCAACCATAATTCAACTAATTTATACCATTAAAAAAAAAAAAGGGTCAAACACAAGAAGAAAGAAAATTTAAGGCTTTGTTTGTGAAACCCAGAATGAATTTCATAGGCATTAAATGTGGAGTCCCACATTCAATGAATTGGGTGCATACGGATCATACGGAAAGCTAGCGTTACTTAAAAAGTTGTGAAGTTGGCTGTAAAAGTTTAATGCTACAGATGAAACAGAAAGCAATCCATTTTTTGTTTCCTTTATTTGACCAAAAATTTGATGTGTCGGTGAAGGTATCTTTAAATGCCAAGGTCGTCTCATTTATTGATTACTATAGTTTCGGCATGCGATGCAGCTGCCGCCAGCATGATTTGCGCAATAAATCCAGCAGAAAAAAGAAGATAATAAATTACAAATTTTTTTAAAAAAAAAGTATCTAACACATCTACAAAAGTTATTCAACTTTGCATATAAAATACAAAATCAAGAATTCAAGAAATTATTAGAAACTTCTAAAAAAAAATTAACATAAATAAACGAAGTAACAAATAAGAAACCAAATTCAAGACCAAATAGCCGTTAGTGATTTAAAAAGGTAAAATATAGACATTTATGTATCATATTCCTCTTCGATTATAGTTTAAACGTCTAGTGGAACTCATAATGTATAAAGCAAAGATTCACAATATAAGTTTATTAATCCTTTAAAAGCGAAAGAAATTGACTTAATATTATTCACTTCAACATAAATTCAAGAAGATTTATATATCTATTTTCCATATTTTGGGATAAGCGAAGAGACAAGAATTAAATTATAAGCGTGACAGGTGGATCTCGCCACATGGGCATGTGTGAAAGAGATTGAAATCGCAGTGACAATGAACGTGGTGGCTGGGTCCCTCCCAATCATATTATAAAATAAATTTTATAACACTAATATCTTCTAAAACACTCTTGTAATTAAATTCTAAACTGGTTGATTTTTTAAAAATTACAATATTATTTTTTAGTTTTCTTAAACATTTTAAAAGGAAATTCTTCTAGAATATCAAACACAACATTTAATAAAGGATTTCTACTCCTAATTTTTAAATATTTATTAAATATCAAAAATAATATTATAGTATTTAAATAGTATATAATTTTTTTTTTAAACAAATGATAAAATTGAAAAATATTTTTTATAATTTAGTAAATAAAACTAATAATTATAAAATGTATTTTTTTTTTATCGAATTTAACCGTTACATCCAACTACACGAAATTAAATAGACTCTTAAAAGTTCATAAATTAAATATTAAAAAAAAAACTTCTAAATCTATCAATTACTTATTATTTAAGTCATTTTCGCATTCTAACACTTATTTAAAACTTCAGATTTGCATCAAAACAGCATACTTGGAGTAAAAGAAGGCACATGCTAATCGAAAGCAAATTCCATTTTTATTATTAATAATCATTTTTAATTATTCATTTGGCCCCATAAATAAATATTAGAGAGAGAGAGAGGAATCTTACAAATCCACCATTGATGCAATTTCCTCTGGATTATCAACGGCATGCTCATTCTTAACATACCTGAAATTTTCAATTAAACAAATATCTATATAAATAATTAATTTAAACATTTAATTACATAATTAAAATATCTCAGTTTATTATCGAAACAAAATAATAATATTATTATTATTAAGCTCTTGGTCGGTGGAAGGCTGTTCCATATGTTTTAATGAATTATTTAATTTATGTATTTAAAGCTTTTTTTTGTTCTCCTGAAAGTTAGATTCAAATCTGAGAAAAAGAAATGTACACGTGGAAGTGAAAATGGCCATTGACCAAAAGGTCCAAAATTAGGCCAGGGTTGAAATGGAATGTCGAAGGGTAAATTTGTCAATAAAGAGTCAAAGAAAGTACTTAATATAGACACTCTGTGACCTCTTTTTTTGTTTTAATCTACGAATGAACGGCCCAGATTTTCCTGATCCGATCTCAAAATTCAAATTTTCTGATCCGTTTGATATATCTGACGGCCTAAATTACGCTTTCGACCTAGAGTATAAAATTTACATTATAATATTTTTATCAATATTGTAAAAAATTATGGAACACAAAAAAAAAGTAACAAAATGCCTTTAATACTAATAATAATAAAAATAATTAGCATTTTAATTAATTTTAAATTGTAAAATTATTTAGTTTTCCATAATTTTTCTCAGAGTTTAAGAATATTTTTATAAAATCGACACGTGAAGATCATGTGCCGGAAAACGAAGAGAAAAATTGGGGGGAAAATAACAGAGAAGGTCTAGTTTCGGAAACTGACCGGTCCGCCATGGATGAAGAATTGAAGCTCTGCAATCGCTGATCTCCAGCAAAGCTATCAACATTGTGAAGCGAAACAGAAAATGAGAACAATCAAGAAAATCATTCGAAAATTACTCAGAACAGAGAAGGTCTATTTTCGGAAACTGACCGGTCCGCCATGGATGAAGAATTGAAGCTCTGCAGTCGCTCATCTCCAGAAAAACTATCAACACTGTGAAGCGAAACAGAAAATGAGAACAATCAAGAAAATCATTCAAAAATTACTCAGAACAGAGAAGGTCTAGTTTCGGAAACTGACCGGTCCGCCATGGATGAAGAATTAAAGCTCTGCAATCGCTGATCTCCAGCAAAACTATCAACATTGTGAAACGAAACAGAAAATGAGAACAATCAAGATCAACATTCAACAAATTACTCAGAACAAGACTACGCTAGTTTAGGCCGTCGGTAGCGGCGGACGCGACGGCATTATTGTCGAAAACGCAGAGAAATGACGCGATTAGGAAGCATTTACCTGGATTGAACGAAGAGGATGTTGAGAAGAAGGAAGAGCATTAATGAAGCGGTTGAAAACTGTAGTCTAAGAGTGACCGCCATTATTGATGATTCTGAAGCTTTCTCTGCTTCTCCGAAAAAATTTTAAGCGACTGTGTATTGTATCTCTCGATCGCTCGATCTGTGGGATTTGTATGAGAGCGTTAAATGCGAGTAGTTGTGAAGCGAAAGAGAGGGAATTGAATGGGAAGCAAAACCGGGACGGAGAATCTCCTTTTATAGCCCCTGATAAACCCTTTCTAATTTTATTTTTATTTTTATTATTGTTTTTATTTCTTTTTCTCTCTTCCCCAACTGTACAGTACCAGTACGTATTCCCCCGCTTTCAAGAAACCAATTTTTTTATTATTATTATAGTAAAATAAAAAGTAAATCGTAATTATTTAAATTTTAAAGGGTATATTCGACTTTTCAACTTCCTTTTAATTTTTTTTTTCAACTCAAGATTTAAATTTAATTTTTATTTACTACTAATAGTTTTAAAATTGTCGGGATATTTTTTTTCGGTCTATTAACTACCGAAGCATACACATGATATAAAACGCGTTTTCTTTCTTTTAGTTAGTTTACGACAGTGTGGGTGTGTATTAACTTATAGTCAGGCCTAGAGATACGTACACGAGCCTGACTAGTTGGAAGTCCTTGAAGTTCTTACCAATTCTCTTACTGGTCACGAACCCGATCGTTTGAAATTTTTAAACTTAAAATAGAAAAAATAGGTTCGACTAAACCTATAGTTTAATTTAAATATATTTTCTCTAAATTATTATATTTCATCATTCAATAAAAAAAAAAAAAAAATAACTACGATAAAATTACAAATTTAGTATCTATCCGGCCGTTCCACGTATTGTTTTCATTAATTTATTATTTATATTTTAGAATTATTTTCAAAATCGACTAAAAATTCAAATAATTGTTATATGGATTCTAAAATTTTAAGTTTGTGTCTACGATGTTTATAAAATAACATCTAATAGGTTCTTAATTTTCAATAATATTTAATAAATTTTCCAACTTTCAATTTTATTTCTAAGTCTCTAATATATTCAAATTTTTTAAATTAAAAAAATTATTAAATATATATAAAAAAAATTATTATATCATAAAATATTAATTTTATTAAAATTTTATAAGGTATTAATTGCATATATTTATATATATAGTTGAATAATAGCAATAAAAAATCACAATTGAATTGACATATTTAAATTAATAAATTGAAAAATATTGTGGAGAAATATACTAATAAATCAAGACCATAATTAAATATAATTATGAAATTATGTTATGGTAAATTTTAATTTTTATCCATTTTTATTAAAGTTAACGGAGTGTTTGAGAAACTATAACTGTGAAATTAAAATTTTACCGCCTTCAACATTAGTTAATCGTAACTTTGCGAATCCCCATGATAACCGTCTCTAACTAACCTATTAACTGTTCTTTTTTACCTTGCTTACGTGTCACGTCTGTCGGTCAATCACGTGGTCTACACTTTGCTGGTCTGACACCTAAGCCAACTTTAAAAGCGCTTGACTACCACATCCCCTTAGGGACCACCGCCTCTGCCACGTCAGAATATTAAATTCTTATTCCAAACTCTCAAATAACTGACGCGCGCAGTTTGGAATATCACAATCACTCGCCATGTATCTTCGCCACGTGTCCACGGGACCGACGTTGAACAGTAACAGAATTTCTGGTGAAATTCACCGAACTGTCCGAATCATAGATCTGGCGGTCCGTCACAAACAAGTGTCCAAAACACCTACGTGTCAAAACCGGGGTTTTTCGACCCGAATCCGTACACATTATAAAAATAAATAAATAACAAATAAAGTTTTACCAGACGGCGTCGTTTTGCCTATTTTTGATTAAGATTATTTCAAATGTGAAATAAAAAAGAAAATGTTACAATTAAAACCAAACCAATATCAAAGCCATTGATTGTGTTTGCGAAAAGACCAAACTACCCTCAAAAGCATGCAACTATTAATACTATTAAAAAAAAAGTCTTCTTCTTTTTTTTTTTTTTTTGTAATTTGACTTTGACAATTTAAATTCAAAGAAAAGTCTAATATTCTTACCAAACAAACATATAACTAAAATCCCATCAATAATTGACCAAAAAAATTAAAATGTAATTCTAATTAATCTAATTTACGAGCCATAAATAGTTAAAAAAAAATTTTTTGACAAACACAAATAATTGGTACAAATTAAATTATATAATTTTTTTATAAAAATAATAGGGTAATTAAAGAATTAATGTAAGGTTAATAGGGTAATTAAATAATTAATGTAGGGTATTTAAAAGTTATTTAATTAATATCGAATACTTTGGGGAGGTGTTTGAAAATGAAAGGGACAAAGTTCATTCCTAGTCAATGTATATCAACCCATAATTAAGGCCATGATTGGCTCCCCTACTTTCTAACATTACTTTCCCAAATCTTAATTTATGAAAAAAAAAAAAAACATTATTAAAACATTTATAATGTAATGACCCAGGGCTTCCTCCAGCGTCCTCGTTGACACTCGTTCCTTCCTCCAATCGATGTGGGACCGTCACCAAATCCACCCCGTGGGGCCCAACGTCCTTACTGGCACAACGCCTCATGTCTACCCCCTGTGACTCGTTCCTTTCTCCAATCAATGTGGGTCCGCCACCAAATCCACCCCCTGGGGCCGAACGTCCTTACTGGCACACCGCCTCATGTGTACCCCCTGTGACTTGTTCCTTTCTCCAATCGATGTGGGGCCGCCACCAAATCCACCACCCCCTAGGGCCCAGCGTCCTTACTGGCACATAGTCTCATGTTTACCCCTTTGGGGAACAGCGAGAAGGCTGGTACATCGTCCGATGTCTAGCTCTGATACCATTTGTAACGACCCAGATCCACCACTAGCAGATATTATCTTCTTTGGACTTTCCCTTTCAGACTTTCCTAGAAGGCTTTAAAACACCCTTATAAAAGAATATTTTGTTCACCTCCCCAACCAATATAGGACATCACATGTAATATTTCATTTAATTATATATAATAAAGTTTGGTCTAATTTCTTTCGACCCTATTTAATAATTATTTTGATTTAAAAATTAAGATTATTAAGAGTAGTTTCTTTTTAATAATATACTAAAAAATTATTTACTTCAAAGAGGTCTATAAGAAACGCTATAAATAATTTAAATTTTTTACAATAAAAATGAATATAATTTTTATTAAATTACTAATTAATTTATTTGAAATCTATTATTTAATAGATTCGAACTTTATTTAAATATAAGTTTAAGGATTTAATTTATATATTTTTAATATTAATATTTATGTGGTAAAAATCATGATAAAAGCATTAATTAAGAGCATGTGACAGACGAATCTGTAACATGCCGTTGTTACAGATAATTATCACATGGACCTATGGTCATGCAAATCCAAACTTTATATTAACAATTATTTTATTAAACTTTATATTATACGTCTAAGTTTCTTTTATTTTTAATGGCTAACTATGTATTTAATTAATGACAAATTAAAAACTTAAAAATGATATTAAAAAATTAAAAAAAAATAAAAATTATCGTCCATAAATAGTTATACCAATCTTTAAAAAATTAATCACAAAAATAATCAAATTTATCAAGTAATTATTTATTCACAAATTAAATTAAAAAAACGAATGAAATAAAAAAAATGAAGAAAATGAGTTCGGTCAACTTATCTTTAGAGAACAAAAAGGTTCGGTCAACTGATTGAGTGCGGGCAGCTCTGCGAAATTTGTGGGATAATTAATTAATATTTTAAACCTGAATTTATAAAAATGTACGAAAGTAGTACGTGCATTTTTCAAATATTAATTTAATAATTAGGTTTAAACCTAACAATAGTGGTTGACTCAACATGTCAAAAATAGTCAAACATGGTAAAGGCAATAAATTAATAAATATTAACAATTTGATGATAATAAAATTATAAAAATTTGATAATTTACGCCAAGTTGACTTTTTTTTGTTCGTGTGTAAATAATAGGAAGACAGAGGTCAAGAGCTTAGGTACGAAAATCGTTGAGTTAGTCAAATATCTTTCATACTTAGTTGACATCGAACGTTGATTAAAGTGAGATCTGAAGTAAAATTGAGTAAGTTGAGATAACAAGAAATACCGAAAATGTGCACTATTTAGACTGAGATGATATCAGGTTAAGCAAGAATGAAGCCGTGTACCTATGGGTAAGGCATGCCTCATTATTTACGGGGTCTTTTGGGAGACCAATTGTGACAACCCAAGCCCACCGCGTGTAAACATTGTGTCCTTTGGCTCATTATATATCGTCGTTAACCTCAGGTTTTAAAACACATCTACTAGGGAGAGGTTTCTGCTAGGGGTGTACATTCAACTCGACAACCCGATAACCGGACCAATCCGATCTGAACTATAAGGGTTGGGTTGAGTTGGGTTGGATTAGCATTTCGGGTAGGGATAGGTTCCTTTTTCTGAACCCGAAGTGAATCGGTTCGGTTTTAGGTTCGTGGATAAAACCTTCAGGTTGACCCGAGCCAAATAAAAATATATAAATTATATTAAGATAATTTTTGTAGGAATAATTTTTATCTAATATTGTATCAAAATAATTATAAATTGTGGATAAATAAAAATTTAAAAAAAAAATTGACAACTCGACAACCCAATCCGAAAACAGAGGGTTGAGTTGGGTTGGGTTGTGAAAATTTTCGGGTTGGGTTGGGTTACCAATCCAACCAAGCTGAACTTTTGGGTTGAGTAAAAAAAAAAACCTCAACCCAACCCAAATCATATACACTCCTGGTTTGTACACCGTTATAAGGAATGTTTTGATCCCCTCTTCAACAAACGTGGGATCTCACGATCCTGAGTCTACTAGTGAGAGGTTTCCACACCCATACGAAATGTTTTGTTCCCCTCCAACAAATGTGGGATCTCACAATCTACACCCGTAGGATCCAATGTCCTCGCTGGCACACCGGCCGATGTCTAGCTCTAGTACGATTTGTAACATCCCAAGTCCACTGCTAGTAGATATTGTCAGTTTTGGCCCGTTAAGTATTGCTAGGGAGAAGTTTTCACACCTTTATAAAAAATGTTTTCGTTCTCCTCTCCAACCAGTGTAGGATCTCGGACGGATATAATTAGATAGAAAATATTGAAGA